TGCCAAGCGACGAAAACCCAACCCCGATGGCAAACACCGGGGGGGGTATGACCGGGGGGGGACAAAACAATCAAGGGGTTCAATCCGGCACAGTACTATTACGCGCCACTCGGTCCGCCTCTTGGCGTTTCCTGCCTGCCCTCGTCGTCTCGTCCGTCTGCTGCACACCTCCCGCCCCAGCGGTTGTTGCCGTGTTCTTGCTGTTACCGGGCTCGTTGTTTCGTTGTAGCGCTCGTTGACGGCTAGCCTCCTCTTCATCCTTGTGCCAGGAGGCCATGAACCTCTTAGCTCCCTGCAGTACCCCTGCATGCCACGGTACCCCCCGGTACACCTTCGCTGCTTTCATCCAAGTTGTTTGCGGGACTCCGAAGAACCCTAGCTCGGTGTCCGTAGAGCCGTGCTCTGCCTAGAACACCTTGAGGTCGTCCTTCAAGCGCGCCTTCCAGTTTTGCTCCGTTTTTCACCTGCCTGGGCCCTCCCCTCCCCCAGCTCGCCAAGCACTAACCGTTTTGGGAGTCGTACATTTGGCTGCCTTACCAATACTCCCTCGAACAACAGGCCCCGTCGCCGAACAGTGGTTTCCACGCTCTGAACCCCTACCTTCTTCAGGGTCTGGACGTAGGAAAGCTGACGGTAGGGGTGTTGGTAACCGACATCTCGCAGGAGCAGCCGGTGATGTATCGACGGCAACAGCCGGCAGTGTTTTTGTCGTAGTGACCATGTCATGCAGCCGTACAGCAGTGCCTCCATCGCCTCGGCCTGGGGCAAGCGAGCCTTTAGTTGGAACGGTGCTCTCGGCCTGTCGAAGAGCTCCTGGCCATAACATCTGACGCGTGCCCACGCTGTTGTGCTCCGGTAATTCATCTCCCGGGTGAGGTCGCCACGTTCGTTGACGAAGCCACCTAGGTACCGGATTCAGCCGTCTGGGCGTACGTCTGCCCTGCTGCCTCGATGATCAGCGGTGGCGGCGGTGGGAGTGGTGGTACTGTCTGCTTAAGGCGCATCAGGAGGGTCTTCGCCTTCTTTTCCGATACCGTCAGCCCGAACTCCCTGGACACCTCCACGATGACGATCATCATTCTCGCCAGTCCGTCGGCAGACCTTGGTACGACGCCGGCGTCATCGGCATGCAGTATCCCCAATACCGCCCTCCGCACTTGGTCAAGTGGTGTCCCCGCCCCCGCTCCCGTCTCTTCCTTCAGGTACACGAGGTTCTGTAGAAATACACCATCCTCTCTGAATCGGATGACAACGACCTCGATGACCGCGGCGAAGATGTTGAACAACAGTGGGGACAGCACGCACCCTTATCGTAGGCCTTGTGTGACCCAGAAGCAGTCCGAAACCTCTCCGCCGTCCATGCGCACCCGGGGTCGCATTCCGTCGTGGAATTGGCGGATGACAGCGATCATCTCCTCGGGAATCCCGTCCCTGGTCAATATCTTCCACAGCAACTCTCGGTCCACCGAACGATACTTCTTCTTGAGGTCGACGAAGCACATGTCGAGTGGTATTTTCCTTCTCCGCTCCAACTACTGAGTCGGTGCACGACGAACAGCATGTCGATGGTGGATCGCCCAGGTCGGAACGTGCACTGTTCCTCCGGGACGATGTTGTTGGTTTCGCATAAGGCGCTTAGGCGGTTGGTGATGATCTTGACGGGGGCCTTGTCTACGTGAGATAGGAGCGAGATCCCCCTGAAGTTGTTGCAGTTGAACCGGTCACCCTTCTTGTACAACACCTTGATGGTTGTGTCCTTCCATTCTTGGGGGATCTCTCCTCCGTTCCACGTCTTAACGAAGATGGCACGGAGGTCCTCCATGACGATGGATTCCTCGTCGTCGTCGTCGATCTTGAGCAACTCTGCAGGGAGGGAGTCATTGCCGGGTGCCTTCCAGTTCTGCAGTCCTTTCGTTGCCCGTTCCACCTCCTCGGGGTCTGGCACCGCACCCAACCGTCGAATGGCACATGTCGCCGGTCGCTGCATCACTTGTTCGATGATGTCTGGGTTCAGCGTGGGAGACTTGGTGTTGAGGAGGGTGCCGAAGAACCTCGCCCACCGCTGGAGGATGTCGTTCTTGCTCCAGAGTAGCACGCCATTCTCGTCCGCAACGGGCTGCTGTCCTCCCGCTTGTCTCCCACTGAGCCCCACTGATCTCTTGAGGTGTTGGTAGAGGCCTCGCATATCGCGGTCCTTGTAGATCGCTTCGAGTTCCGTCACATATCTGTCCAGGTGGGCATATATGCTCGTTTCGACTGCTGCGGCTACTCCCTTACACTTTGCTTTTAGGGCCCTCCACGATGTTGTGTTCAACTTGTCTTTCATCGCTCGGCGCGCTTTCGGCCGTTTGGTAAGGGCGTCCTCCAACGCTGCTCTTGTCTCAGGGGTCTCACACCAGTCCTGCGTGCGTCGTCTCCGCGGTTCCTCGGATAGTATCGACCTCGCCGCTTCGAGGAGAGCATTGGTGAACTCGGTCGCCTTTTCCGGGGTGGTGGGCGCTCGTTCGCCCTGTCGTTGGTCGAGGTTGAGGAGGAATCGTGCAGTCACCACCCCATCGCGCTGCTTCGACCTGCAGCTCCCGTCGGTCGAACTGCTTCTGTTTCGGTTTGGTCCGGACTGCTGGGTGGTGGGCAAGCCTGCCACCGAGGTTGACGGTGGCTATCACTGTACCTACCTATTGTGATGCCGTTCGATTATGATCGTGACGGTGGACATGATGGCCTTGGAGCGACACTCCAGGCAAAGGCAACATATATTCCCTCCCCTTCCCCACCCTACACGGCCATTACTCAGTGTTCTTGCTCATTTTCCCGTACGGCTCCGCATGCTTTGAGAAGCACGACAGCACAAGTAACGGTGTCCGCAGGAATCGTAGGCCCGGTGCCGTTGAGATGTGTTAACACGATCGGTGAATTTCTCCAGGATTACAGACGCTAGATGAGAATCATCGCACACCTCTCGTTTTTTTTACTATGACTATGTGCAAAGGCATCACCAAAAACAATATTGTCGACACAAACAGTTCAACTATCGCGAGCATGGCCTGCTTTGGACGGTCTGGGTGTACAGGGTCCGTACATGGAAAAACAATAGGGTTTTGCTTTTTCTCGACCGCGAAAAAAGGGCACCCAGCGACTTGACACCTCGTATCAGAGGCTTCTCCCGGTTGTCTTGAGCCAAGATGGGGCTTGGCAAAGCAACAATTCCGAAGCGAAACGGGGTTTCTCATCACAACCTTACGTGTTTTGCCCTCACCGGCCAACGTCAGATTCTTACCGGTAGCGGTAAGAAGTCGAGAACGCCCACCTCGAGCTCAGACAAAGGACACCCACGGGATACTATCAGGTCCAGACACCGTGGTATGTATGCGTGTTGTACATTTTCCGAGGTTGGCATCTGTGAGGATTGGTTGAGCATGCTACAGCACCGTCTGGAACAGCACGAAAAACGCCTCGGTACTGGAGCGGGGGTAGTCTCCTACAGATTGTAGCCAACCCATGGCTCCCACATATATATCCCGTATCCCGGGTGTAGGGTCACTACACGCTACTCCCGATGGACACATCATGGTGTCCATTCCAGTCACCGGCTTGCTCGCCGATGTAGTCAAGAACCTCACACGACAATGGACATTAAATCGTGAGGCAGCTCGAGAAGAGCGGGTTATCAATATCGGGAAGGCGCGATCTTCCTAGCAGGGTTTCAAACGTGACGCAAGGTTTACGATTTTTTTAGAACGGCAGTTCTGACCATTGTGTTTTTTACGGTTTGATGTGTGCACAACAGTCAAACTATTGCTGGACACCACACTACCCTACCCTTCGCCTCCCACCCGTTCCTCCCTTTCGTGCGTGTCAATGCTTTGTGGATGTAGATTAGACTCAGGATCAAATCCAAATACGACCTCGTTCCGAACGACGATACCACAGCTTGCTGCGCAGTAAGTCACACCCGGGCTTGAAATAATGTTTGGCCGAATGTATCCATCGCGGGGGAAAGGAGGTGAACAGGTAAAAGGAAAATGGCAAGAGGCCTAGGGTTAGAGCGACGTGGAATTAATGTAGACAATAGTGCGCGGAAAGGGTACCTCCTTTATATGCAGGGCTAAGCATGCAACGGGTGTAACATGAACTACATACCACGCGCTGTCCTCCGTTCCCATCGCTGTTTTCAGATCGCACCAAACGTACCAGTGGGGACACAAGATCACCCACCATCATTTACGAAAGTGCTGGAGCTCACCCTGGGACCGACATCAAAACAATGTTGAGTGCACGCCTCATCGCCCTTTCAAGTGTGGATCTATAACGTGCGTGTATGACTTCAACCGTGCGGCATATGAAAGAATCGTTGCAATTGTAGGTGAAAGAACCCCATGCATCGCAACCAGGGTCGTCACTTGAGCTTCACGGTGCGCGTGTGGGTGCACTTCGAAAAATTCCAGTCTCTTCAAAACCCAATCTCTTGGTTCATCCAACCCCCTAGACAAGTGAAGCACCAAATACGAAAAATATTGAAAATAAGACCGAATGAACAGATTGTGTACCCAGGGACCGTTTGTCGACATGGTGGCAGCGGGGCGCATCTGCTGCACCTTTGAGTAGAAGACCACGCAATTCATGGGATATCGATCCCTAACAGCAGTCGATTCGGTGGCACGCAAATCGTCTGCAGGTAGAATATATACACTTAGCAAAATCTCCTTGCCACTACATCACGTGATTCGCTCCGTCCGATGTGGCATATAGAGAACAAGCCTGGCGGCTTGCGGCCTGCTGAGCATTCGATATCACGTACGTTCGGGCGAGCGACAATCGTTCGTGGCCGTGGGTACTGTGGTGGTTTGCTTGTTGTTGAGTTCGTTGTTTCTTGCCGATTTCGATAGTTTGTGCTCACGTCGAAATCCATGTTGATATGCGGGGAGGAAAGCGGGTAGGACTCTTGACGGTTTGATCTAGAAGACGAACGTGCATGAAGTGTGGAGTGGCGGCCAGATTCTTTCCGCGTTTGAGTTCAAGACCGCTCAAACGGTGGGCAACGAGTTCGGCGAAGTGTCCATACGGTGGCAGGTATGACAAAACCCGCCAGCAGGTAGTTCATAGAACCCTGTGTCCCTCTCTCTCGCTGCATCTCGCGATTCGCTCCGTCCGGTGTGGCATATTGAGAACAAGTCTGGCGGCTTGCGGCCTGCTGAGCATTCGATATCACGTACGTTTGGGCGAGCGATGATCGCTCGAGGCCGTGGGTGTTGTTTTCGTTGTTTGATGTTGGTGTTGACGTTGGTGTTGCTGATCCTGTTGGTGCGGGCATACCCGCGTCGAAATCCATGTTGATATGTGGGAGGGGAAACGGGTAGGTATTCGGACAGGCTTTTGTATCTCAGCCGACTAGCGATCATGAATTGTGGATTTGGGGGCATGTTTGCTCCACGTTGAAGCTGACGGTACGTCAATGTACCCGAATCGGGGGCAATGACGGTGTTGTTGGATCGGTGGGTGTTCGTGACGATTCACTTGTAATTTGTGGGTTTGATGTCTAGCGGGCCGGCTGTTTACACGGCGGTTGAAGGCGAAGGGCTTCTTGCTGCGTGATGGTGATAAATATCGCGGAAGTGTGGGCTGGCGACGAGCGCTTTGGCCGTGAAGAGGGTGGCTGTTGTATTGATGTGCTTTTGCTGTTGGTGTCGTTATCGTTTTGTGTTTGGCATGAGTAGGAGACTTGCATAGTTCGAAAGTCCTAGTCGCCCGAACAGCATTTGTTCTGCACATCAAAGAGCACATTGTAACGTGTTTACTCACCCCACGCCCTCGTTCCCCCCACCCTGCCGCTGCCGATTTTTTACCTCCTTTGTTGCCCGTCTTGTCCGTCTTGACGAACAGATTATCACGATCTGCCACGGTCCATGGCTGAGCACTTGCATGCTCGAACGGATGGGTTACCCCAACAGACCAAGTGCATTATTTTCTGCTCGGCTATGACGATCAACGAGTAGACTACGCGAGAAGGAACGGAGTTTTGCCCACTTTGCTGTGCTTTGAGTCAGAGAGAGATTTTTGCAGCGGGTATTTTGGTATCTTGTGCTCGGTTGGGTGTTCGGCTTCTGACACGATCGAATTGATCGAGATCGGTTGAATACTTTCGAGCACACCGTTTCCGGCGTTCGTTTCTGCTTCTCCAGATTGGATTATTGGCTACTGCCACGTTGTTCGTTGAGATTCGCTGGACCCAAGCCGCTTTTTTCAAGAGTTCGAGGTCATACCAAGAATCCCGCTGACGTGAACGATGGGACAGAACGATGGAAAGTCGACTACCGAGAGGTACGAACCGTAGCCAAACTATCTATTCGAACGGGAGACATGTGCTCGACGCGCACACACGTAATATTTCTTTCTCGGCGCCTTGCCCAAATTGATCAAACGCGGTTCCTGGTGATTCATTTTCGCAGATCGCTGCCAACTCTAACATCGTGCACCTCCCTCGCCTCATTTATCCGGTACACGACAGGGCTAGCGATCGTCAACGGCTTCTTCACCATATTCGCGACGAGCAAAGAGCCAGGAACCAGCCGCCCGCGTGGTGCGTCTCATATTGTGTGATTGATCTGCGTGTACCGTGTACGTATCGACGTGGTCAAAACAGACACCCCAGGTCTTTATAGAAGAGAAGTGCTCCCGTGCCGTTCTTTGTGCGCTGCTGATGATAGTTGGATCATTTTTTGACACCCTTGCCACCGGTAGAGATTCTTCCAAACACTGATCCGGAGTTCGATTTGTTCCTCAACGTGCGTATGGCTACCGATGGGAGTCGATTAAATCGCCCTGGCAGAGCCGCCTGTCAATGCTTGAAGTGAACTTCAACGCCACGCACTGTACAACGGGCCCCGCACTGTTTTTCGTAACGCCGTGCAGTATTTGGTACGGAGACTGTACAACGGCCGCCACCGTGCCATCGGTGCCTCACTTGCAGCTCGCTCCTGTCGTAAGCTACTGTACTATGCGAGCAGTCTGACTGACCTTACCGCGCAATTCGAATTCTACAGGGAACACGTGGCTTCAGCAGTTTTCGGCGACGTCAACAAGGCTGACTACACACGAACCCTTCTGCAAGATCAGGCTGTCCCCGAACATGTTCGGACATGGCCATCGGTGAGCATAATGTCGACCATGGTGAACGCATTACGCGAC